AAGACATAAACAACAGCAAATAAAAACACAAAAAAAACATAGCTTCATATTTATAGAAAAATATATTTAAACAAGGTTCCAAATACAGATGTTTCAAACAAACAAACAAGGTTATCTGTGAGGATCATCAAACCAGATCACTGGGGCTAAGAACACCTTTCTTTAAGATCAGGTTTCCATACAGAGCAGTTTCTCTGCAACAGACAAAAGAATTGGAATGTAAGATAAAAACAGAGTCTAGAAAAGACTATAAATAAATACAAACAGAAGCAGTGCACACAATTTGTATTCAGTTCAGTGACATTTGGCACGATTAGGTGCCCATAGACAAGTTTACAGTCTCTGGATCTGACAACGATCAGTACCAACAGATAAAGATGGCGAAGGATCATCTGAGGGCATAATAGGGGGGGATTCACTAAAATTGGAGCACATAGAATCTGGTGCAGCTGTGCTTAGTAAAACAATTTTAGGTTTTATTGTCAAAGTTGAATTGACGTTAGAATCTGATTGGTTTACTTAACACAGATGCACCAGATCCCATGTGCAAAAATTTCAGCAAATGACCCCCCACTGAGCACATAAATTAGAAAACAAAGAGTGATGCTTATCAAATGGAACAAAACTTTGTGGGTCACTACTTTCTAGAAAAATGTAAGGAAATTAGTATCAGTACTAAGATCAAGATGATTTTTGTTCCATACTTAGGCTGTATTTGCACAGACGTTTTGCCACAGTGCAAATGACAGTGGCAAAAATCTACCAATTTCCGCGCCTGGATTTGACAGTTGTCTCTGACCGCAATCACCGCAGGTAATCACTGGCTGTGCAAACAGTCATGAATAGCTGTTGCCACTGACAGATTCTCACTGCGGTTTACGGGCTTGACAGCCACAGCTACCCAGACATGACTGTCAATCCCAGCTGCAGCAAGCAGTAGATTCTTGTCACTGCCATTCGCACTGTAACTATAAGCCCATGCGAGTGAAGCCTAATACTTTCTGTGCCCATATGGTAAGGATATAGTTTTGAGGTGTTAATCCATTAGCCAGTATGTTGAGGGTCAAATAAAGGGGAGTTAAGGAGTTATTTTAGGAGTCAATGTAATATGTAAAGTGTTGTGTAAATTGACGGCGCTATACAGGTACCTGTATTAAATAAAGGTGTTCAGATGAACCCAAGTTTTAAAAGATAGACTGGGACAGGTTCTCAAACATTTTAAACTAAGGCCAGTTCACTGTTCTTCAGAAACTTTAAGCCTTTCGCAACCAGGTCTGTCAGTGGGGGTTTTATACACAATCCAGTGGCTGTGATCCAGGCTCCCCTTGACCATCTGCGGGCTCGGGACCAACATGGCGGGTGCCAGCAGGTGGAGAGGAGAAAGGAGCGCAGACACGTTCACTCTGCTCTCCTTCTTACTGTGGCCTGGAAGGCAACATGTAAGACATCACTTCTGGGTCACCGCTGTCACTTTCCCCAGTTATTCTAGCCAAGGAGAGATGTATTGTAATGCAATCTGCATTGTAATACATCCAGTGGAGCCCAGAGAAAACATGCAGGGTCTTTTAGACCCTGCATGTCTAAAAAGAGAAAACGTCACCTAAAAATCATCACACAGGGGACTTTGTGTGTTGATATTTGTCACCATTTCACAGGTGCACGCAAATTTAAAGGTTTGACATGTTGGGTATCTAATTACTCAGCGCAACCTCGACTTTTATATTTTACCAAAATTTGGGTAATTTGTTTCCGTTTTTTTTTCCGTAAAATTCACTTTAGTGTATTTTTTACTGAAATTTTGCATTTCCTAGACCTTTGCAGCAATATTGTATGACATGAAAAATTGGAACTACCATTATTTTATTCTCTAGGCAGGGCATCTGCTTTCAGAAAATATATAATGTTTGAGGGTTTTGTGTAATCTTCAGGCCTAAAATGATTTTTTAAACATGTGCGTAAAAAAAAAAAAGAGGCAAAAATGGATCTGGCAGCGAAAGGGTTAATGGTTTGTCATGTGCGCCTCTACACCATGAACACAGTCATTGTCTCCTGGCATATTAAAAAAAAAAAAGCTCTCTTCTTGAGCTACAAGTAAAAGTAACCATAGGTCCATTGTTGGCTGAATATTCTGCATTCAGAACCAATTTTGTTTTCTTTGACATAACAAAACACAAATTATCATGCTAGTAATGGTATTGTAACATAATCATGAAGTGATCTGTCACTGTGCTGAATATTGACTGAGTATTAATACAGGATGAATATAGTTTTGCACAAGGCTTTTTTTTCCCCTCAGAGAATCACCCCTTGTCTCCACTCCTTTACCCACCTCTGAGTACCATTCCTTGGTTGCATCCTGTATCCACCTTCCAGTACCACTCTTTTTAGAGAATACAGAACAAAGTATCATTTTGTGGTGCAAAGTAATTTGTATGGAATTTGTCAAGGACAATAGACCCCTCCAGCAACAATAGATCCCCTTGCAAAAATACCACCCAGCAACAGTAGACCCACAGTAGCAACAACAGATCTCCTAGGAACCATCATCAATATACCTGTCCTTCAACAGTAGATCCCTTCCAGCAACATAACCACCCCAGCAACAATAGACCCCGCTCAAAAATAGATCCCCTCCAGTGACAATAGATGCCCCAGCAGCAAGCATCAATATACCCTCCAGTACACCCCTTGCAATTACATACATTCAGTGCTGGAGGTGCCCTAACTGTGTTCCCCCACGTTCCTGCTGAAAAAAAGCCCTGGTTTTGCAGCTCTTAGCTGGATACACAAAAAATCGGAAGGAAAATGAAAGGAGCTTCACACTATTACATTGTGTTTCTCAACGGCTAAGGACTTATTCACACTACTGTGGTAAGGCGTTCAGCAATGCACATTACATGAATTAACATAATGCAGTGAAATTTATTCTGAATGGCACCCTAGAACACCCTGTCGATGGATGTGGGTTGCAGCACAGCACAAGGCAACACAATAATGTGTGCTGCAAAGTGCTGCCAGAAATACTACATGCAACTTTTTTGGTGCATTAGGCTGCCCATTTAAATTAATTGGCCCCCCCAATGCAATACACGTTAATGAAAGTGCACTACAGAGCTCAAAAAAGTAAATGGGCCCAGAGAGTCCTGCTTTCTATATAACTAACTAGCACTAGCTGTTACCTAGAAAGGACAGTTGTAGCTACTCTGACTATGAGAATAACAACATGACTTATATTGTGTGGCTATTATACACACTAAGAATGATTATTCAAGGACAACAGTAATATATATAACCATTCCGTTTATTTTTTTTGTTTTTTTTTTTCCTTTTTCTAAGTTCAGTCTTTTTTAGAAGTGAAAAGAAAAATCAGTTTCATATATAGTAAGGCTGCAGTAAAGCATTCCATGAGCGATGATACTTTTTCCTCAGCCAATTACAGTGATCACAGAATTGTGAAGTCTGTCCCACCTCCCAGTGTTCACACCTGCTTAAAAGGCCAGCAAGAGGGAGCAAGAAAAGATTATATGGAAACCAAATGTGATTAAACCTTTCATAAATTCTAAACCATTAAACATTACAGTAGAAACAAAAGAATTTTAAAAAGAGAAAGCCCCTGCACCAAGAACTACTCAGATGACAGCCAATATCATTTTTTTAGTTTTGTACTTTTTTGCCGCATTATTCAAATAGAATAAAATAGAATAAATTTATTACTGAAACTGTGCCGAATTAAGATAAGAGGCTATATGTATATAAAAGAGAAAAACCAGATCCAGACAAAGAAACAACATGCTGAACAGACATATTTTAGTAAAAAGAAATGTTAAAAGCTGCTGAAATCTGGCTAAAGCTGGCCATATACTAGTAGAATTTTGTTAGAAATTTTTCATTTTAGGAGCATTCATTAGATTTTCTAAGCATTTGTTTTCGACCACAGTGACAAGGAAAAAGCTGAAAGGAAATTCTCCTGGAATTAACACATTTTTAACAGTGAATGTGGCTTTTGTTTACAAAGTCCATTTACGCCAACATTGAATGTTAAAAAAAAAAAAACGTTTTTGAAGTACTTTCAAATGAAATTTGTCAAGTCATCAAATGTACCAATGAGAATTTTTATATGAAATCTACTAGAGTATGGCCAGCTTATAGTAGAACTATAGGCAAAACTTTTTTTTTCCATTTTGGATGGAGTAAAGGAGGGTTATAACACCCTTTTTTTGCCATCTGTGTTCTTTTGGGGAGATTTACCTTTACTTTCTGTCCCATAGCCAAAACAGAAAATGGAAGAAAATCCCTGCAAAATTAAGGGAAACCTTTAGGGCATCCAGGTCCCCAGAACTAGGGTCTCCATTGAAAGATTTCCCCTCTATTACTTTTCTGGGGACAACCCAAAATTTGGAATATTCTTTTGCTTTCATTTTCAATGATAATGGCAAATGGGACAAACAGATAGCGTCAATCTCCCTAATGGTGGCAAAGACAGCAATAAAAACTGACAGGTGTTCTAATCCTTCTCCACTCTATTCAAAACTAAAAAAAATTAAAAATGGTTTTGCATTTAGTTACATTTTAAGTCCTCAATATGTAAATTAGCTTCCTAGCAAACTCAAAAACATGAATAATACTTAGTCAGTATATGAGTCATGGCTTGTAACTGGGAAGATGAAATAAGGGACTTATGTAAATTCCAGCTTCCAAACATCCCTATGATGTGCTGCAGATCACATACTTACTATACATATATGTAATGACCAAGAAGAGAGTCACAACCGTAAGAGATGTCAGGTTTCATCCACCTATGTATGACCCAAAAGCTGTCTGTACAGTAATCATGCAGAAGAAGGGGATTCACACAACAATCCAACATGATTGAAATTTTTCTGCATCTCAGACACACAGACATGACAGCCATTTCTGAAAACCTGTTGTGAGTTTTTTTTTTTTTTTTTTAAGGGGTAGTTTAGAAAGAAAAACTGCTTCCTGGAGATGTCCGTGAATACTTACCCTGTGGCCACAATAGCAAAAGCATTTTTTGCTCTTCCATAAAAAGAAAATCTTTCCACTTTTTCTAGGGGAGCCTGTAAGACATAATTTTATCATAATTTTATCAGACGTATGAACAACTTGTTTAAAACAGATGATAGAAACATAGGAGAATGCCATCAGTTGAAACAAAATGTGTAGGTCAGAGCTGTGCTGTTTGCCCATTTTATTTGTGAGTAGCTATACTGTTTTCAATACCCTTTATGAGAGTCTGGCTCTTTTTGTCTTCCCATATATGCTTCTTTAAACATGAAATGACATACATTATGAATGGAAGTGGCGATACCCCTGACTTACTGCCAGAGTGTTTCTGATATTCTCAAGCATTATGTGACTTATTGTGACTCCATATTGGAGGGTCATACTCTTATGGTAAGTCTCTGTGTGTGGCACCAGGTGGAAGAGCACATATTTTTGTTTTTTTAAACACTTTGAAGAGTTTTTTTTTTTATCATCTACTTTGCTCACTTCTTCCAAAGTTTGAAATACACAAGCAAAATTTGTAATTTTTAACCACTAAAGACATTGATTTGTATTTTTTTTTTTTTTAAATGCATTTTGGGTGATTTGATTACAAACAATCATTGGTTTATTTATGAGGGTTTAATCATCTGGTGTTTTATTTATTATGTATTTTATTAGTACAGCACTATGCTTAATTCCTCCTTTCTGCTCATGAGCCTGCTAAATGCTACCTAAAGAACTACCATTACTGAATAGCACACCAGTAACTTGAACTGCTAAGACTTCTGTGTATTTCTGATAAATGATCTGTGTCTACATTCTATACTTACCAAATACGGTTTTATCCAACTGAACTTTAATGTACAGCATATGTAGGTGGTAAAATCTCCTTCCACTTACATAAGGTATTTTTAGAGGTGTTAGAAACCAAGTCATTGTGTGCAATACTGCAAAAAGAACTTACTCAAAAGTTAGACGACTTTCACATGATGTGGATATGATCTCCTACCGATAAATGGTTCTGGAAACCATCTACACCAGGTGGGAGCAATGAGCATGTGGAGCAGATAGAAAATTCTATTCTCCCTCTCAAAAGCCAGCCAACATGGAAGTCTGTCATGAAAGTCCAATTCCTTCTTGTGCTCCCCCATCCTCTTATGCTCCCCCATCCTCGTCTCTCCTTCCAGAGCAACTTGCCAACGCTTCGAAACAGAACAGACAATATTTGAAGCGGTCTGAAGCTTCGGAATTTGTTTCCCTGAGAGTAGGTGGACAGTGCATGCATGTCTGCTCTGCCAACTGCCCTCTAAGGTACTCTGCTACTATCCAGCTAGACACCTGACTCAGAGAAGAGGGGGACCTTGTATATCTTTATCAGGCTCAGGAGGGCAGAGAGAAATTATTGCAGCTCGGCATAGAAGACTAACTATAGCACAATCCTTTCCCAATGATCTATTGCACACATCCTACTTACTCTGCTCAGAGTTGTGAAAAACCTCCAATAGCTATTCTGAATTTGCGGCTATTCCAAGCACTGGTGTAAACTTCAAGACTTTCTCTCCATGTATTACCTTTAAGGGCAGGAGGTTCCTGATCTTCCAACTTTAGTGGAGGCTAGAAAGCAAAAGGTGACACATGCCATATGCCTGGAAATTCCCCTGTAGTCTCCTTAGCGCAAGCTCATTGGTGCCGATACTAAATATATTAAATCCCCTCAAAGCTAGAACGTTGCAGACCAAGAATGTCCAGTGTAAGTGTGCTATGTGATAACAGGTTTCTGTTCCATCTCTGCTGTCACCAACATGGGCTCCCCTAGGTGCCGAGTCAAAACATTTCCCAGTCTTTGTCTAAGGTCACTCAAAGGTGGTTGAGATATCCTTATGACAATGGTTTTGCTACAGTGGTGGCAAATTACAACAAAGCTGGATACCCAATCTTCTAGAAGGGTGTAGTGCACAAACTCTCAGAGATCAGGCCTAGAGATGCTAAGAATGTGCAGTCATATCAGGTACAGTAGATGTACAAGGCAAATGGCCAGGTCCTTATAGATGCATTTCAGGTAACCAGCTGAATTGGAAAATTATTTTTGTAAGGAATGCAAAAGTCAACGAATGGTACTTTGCTTTGGTAACAGGGAAATTTATATACTGAAAAATTAGGATGATAAAAGATCAAGGCAGCTCCAATGTCAAGAAGCATGTACCAATACAGTTATCTCTACTTGTCATCTTAAGGGTGACAAAATCTTCATTGACAGTGGATACCTCACCTCACATCCAGCTTTGCACAGTAGTCTCTTGTACTCATCCCACACTGGTACTTTCAGGCCTCTCTCTTTATCACTGTCCACAAGGGCCATTACAGCTGCCTGCCAAGAAAAATTAACAAATATCTCAAAAAGGCACAAAATATAAAACAAAATTAAAGTGGAACCTTACCCATAATTACTTAATAAAAAATAACATTCTTTAACAAGCAACATACCTTCTATAATAATAATTAAGCTACCAAAATTACTGTGTGCTGTAAATTGCCTCCAGCAATGTTCATGTTTCTTCTCGCTGGAGGCTGCCAGTTTGCTGAAGCCCAGAGCCCCTAAGCAGCAGTAAATCTTTAGGCTGTCAGCAGATCGGCCTCTAGATATTCGGGACAGTGAGTAAAAACCAGACAGCAGCACAGCATGTGCAATGTAGGGTGAGGCAGTGTATTATTGGATTTTAAACAGTATAGGCACTTAATTTTAATGTTTTACATAGCTATACCTGCAAAAGGGGCCAGACTCAAGTGATCTAGCAGGACTTCATTTTCTGACTAAAATTACACTTATTTTTATAACAGAGTCTGAGTGAAGAAACAACTCAGGATGACCATTAACCTCTTCCCGTTCGCCCTATAACAGAAATACTGCTACAGGGTGCACAAAATCACATCTTGGTGTAAATTTATGACAAAATTTGATTTTTAAATTTTTTTTTTTTTTTTACTGGACATGTTTAATAGCAAAAAGTCAAAAATATTGTTTTTTTTTTTCATCTCAAAATTGTTGGTCTCTTTTTTTATAGCGCAAAAACCCCCCCCCCCCCCCCCCCCCCAAAAAAAAAAAAACTTTTTAAATACCACCAAAGGAAAGCGCAACTCGTGGGGAAAAAAAAAAAAAAAGGACATAAATTTCATTTGGGTGCGGCGTTGAATGATTGCGCAATTGTTAAAGTAACGCAAAAATGGCCTGGTCAGGAAGGGAGGGTAAATCCTCAGGAGAGCAATTGGTTAAAAGCCCAATTCTGCTCCCAGTCTGATAGCAAATAAAACGTGGACTGATTTGCTGGAAAAAAATCTATTTTAAACTTGGTCAAACAATTGAGTGAGCCAGAGGAGAAACCCACACCTTCTCCCCCTCACCTAGCAGAGACAAGAATATCTGCAGATTCAGTCAACAACCAAGCATGCAGAAATGGACTTTGTTGTTGGGATTGTGATTTCTTAGGTGCAGCACAGCAATGCATACAATTCTGCAGATGTAGGTAAGTGAACTTCCATCAATTTTTTACATTCAAACACCAGAATGGGGGAAAACAAATGTGATGTCAGTAATTTTGACTGTGACCCAACTGTTGATGTAGAAAAGTTTACTCAGAATGGTTCAAAACACAAAAGACATTCACTTCAGTTCTGAAAACTGAAAGATCTTGTTAATGAGGAAGGACAGAGAGGAGAGTGGCCAGACTGGTTAGAGTTGATAGAAAGCTATGGTTCAAAGAAATACATCCAGTATCCAGAGGATACAGAAGATGCTGGGGCAGCAGAATTAAACCCAATGATTTGTTTACCAAAACAGTAAAATTCAAAGCATGTGAATGAGAACTGTCACAGTTATATTTATGCTCTCAAACAAACTGTCAACTTTCAAATGGCTGGTGTCATAACCGATCACATGTACAGTACCATTACAATTATTGATCAAACAGAGGTTAAGATGGCAACTTCCTTGGCCGTAAAGGATAGAAGGGTTTAATTCCACTTTTTCACACAGTGCTAAAGTGATTTGAAAAGCTCACTAGTTAGGTAATACTTTGAATATTAAGATGGATGGACTACAACAGCAGACCATGTCGGGTTCCTTTTCTGTCAGCCAGAAACAGAAAGCTGAAGCTACAGTGGGCACCAGAAAAATGTAGCCTGGATGGTTAATTCTTGATTTCTGCTAAGGCACAGAGATGGTGAGCTAGAGGCCATAATAACAGAACGGGAGAGTCGCAGCATGATTGTGCAGCTGAAAATCTGCAGAAATTATTTGATGCAATCATGTTGGGATTGAACAAAACCTTAAAAGGAATGTGAAATCCATGTCATGGAGAATTAACGCTGCTCTGAGAGAAAGGAGACCCTACCCAGTGTTAGTATGGGGTTCCTAATAAATTGCTGCCTGAGTGCATACATTAACATACACAGCCATGTGTAAAATAAATACAACTGATTAAAACCATTACATGTTTACTTTAATTTTTTATCACTTTCATTCAGTTCCTTTTTTCTGGTTTATTTCAAACAAAGTAAAAAATTAATTTACCTTTAATTTTTTTTTTTATCTTTTTAGCTTTTACTACTGTTTTATTGCTTTGTTTCTTTTCTTAGATCTTACAGAATAAACAACTTCCATAAAAGACTATTAAGTTCCCCTAATGCCTACCATATGACTAAAAACAACAAAAGCGACAAAGGGCTCAAGTCTCAAAACTGACAAAAATAAAAGGCTATTGTGTTGTTCATGGCTTGTTGCTTTAATTTTAGTTTTACATTTAAAAATAAACTGAACTTATAATAGCCATCATATTAGAAAATATCTGGGCTCACATTGTGATCTTGCATGCACTGCATCTTTAGGCAATCAGATATTCCCTGGATCAACTTTACCTATAAATGTTAGTATCTAGTTATATTATGTATAGCTAGGAAAGAATCCAGGCCTTTTTTAAAGTAATCCACTGAGCTGGCCAATACCAACTCTTCAGGGAGTCTATTCCACATTTTTTACATCTCTTATTGTTAAGAAACCTTTCCATGTTTGGAATTCAAAGTTCTTTTCCTCCAGACGTAAAGAGTGCCCCCTTGTCCTCTGTGATGACGTCAGGGTGAATAACTCTACACCGAGTTCACTATATGAACCACTGATGTATTTACACATGTTGATCATATCCCCCCTTAATCTCCTCTTCTCAAGAGAGAATACATTCAGTTCCTCATCGCCGAGCTCCTCCATGCCTCTTATCAGTTTGGTTGCCCTTCTATGTACCCTCTAGTTATTATTATTATTATTATTTCACAGTATTTATAAAGCGCCAATAGTTCGCTCAGCGCTGTACATTACAAAGGGGGACAGAACATGTGACAGAACAATACCAATACAATGCAAAACATGAGGGGATAGAGGGCCCTGCTCTTTCGAGCTTACAATCTAGGAGGGAGGGGGTGGTGGCACAGGAGGAGATAGCTGTGGGGGATGGAGTGGTAGGAAGAGTGGAGGAGGTCGGCAAGTTAGCAGGGGGTGGGGTAGGCTTCCCTGAAGAGATGGGTTTTCAGGGTGTGCCTAAAGGAGAGGAAAGTAGAGGATAATCTGATGGGTTGGGGCAGGGAGTTCCAGAGGATGGGTGACACCCTGGAGAAGTCCTGGAGGCGGGCATGGGAGGAGGAGACCAGGGAACTAGAGAGAAGGAGGTCTTGTGAGGAGCGGAGTGTGCGTGCTGGGCGGTACTTGGATATTAGGTCAGTGATGTAGTTCGGGGCAGTATGGTGGACAGCTTTGTACATCAGCATTAGGATTTTGAATTTGATCCGTTGCGCAATCGGAAGCCAGTGGAGGGATTGGCAGAGGGGGGTGGCGGAGACAGAGCGGTTGGAAAGGTGAATTAGTCTGGCAGCCGTATTCAGGATCGACTGAAGCGGGGATAGCCAGCGGCGAGGCAGGCCAGTGAGGAGGGAGTTGCAGTAGTCGAGTCGTGATATGATGAGGGAGTGGATGAGCTGTTTAGTGGTTTCTGGGGTTAGGAACGTGCGGATTTTGGCGATGTTGCGGAGGTGGAGTCTGCACGAGTTTGTTAAAGATTGGACTTGGGGCTGGAAGGATAGGTTGGAGTCCAGAATGACACCCAGTACTCTGGCCTGCAGGGCGGGTTTGATGGTAGCGTTGTTGGATGTGACGGAGAAATCAATGGGGGGTGGTGTCCGGGCTGGGGGGAAGACAAGAAACTCGGTTTTCGAGAGGTTCAATTTAAGGAAGTGGAGCGACATCCAGTCTGATATGTCACTCAGTAGGTGTGTGATTCGGGCTGAGACCAAGGGGGTGAGGTGGGGGGTTGAGAGATAGATTTGTGTGTCGTCGTCATAGAGGTGGTAGTTGAAGCCGTGAGAGTGTATGAGTTGGCCAAGGGAGGAGGTATAGATGGAGAAGAGAAGGGGCCCAAGGACAGAGCCTTGAGGGACCCCAACAGAGAGGGGGAGTGAGGGGGAGGTGGTAGCATTATAGGTAATGCTGAAGGAGCGTTGTGACAGGTAGGATGAGAGCCAGGAGAGAGCAGAATCTCTGAGTTCCCCAATGTTTTTTTTGTGAATTGGTGCCCAAAATTAAACTGCATATTCCAGATGAGGTCTTACTAATTATTTGTACAGGGGTAATATGATATCGCTCTCTCTGGAGTCTATATCTCTTAATACAAGAGAGGATTTTGCTTGCTTTAGAAACCGCAGCTTGGCATTGCATGCCATTATTAAGCTTGTGATCTACCAGAACTCCCAGATCCTTCTCCACCATTGATTCCCCCAGTTGTACTTCCCCTAGTATGTATGATGCATACATATTCTTAACCCCCAAGTGCATAACCTTACATTTATCAACATTAAACCTCATTTGCTACATAGCTGCCCAATTAAACAGTGCATGGAGGTCAGCTTGTAAATTGGAGACAACCTGTAAGGACGTTCTTCCACTGCACAGCTTGGTGTCATCTGCAAAGATTGAAATGGTATTTTTAATCCCAGACCCTATATCGTTTATAAATATATTAAAAAGTAAGGGTCCCAACACTGAACCCTGGGGCAAACCACTGATGACCCCAGACCATTCAGAGTATGAATCATTAACTACTACTCTCTGAATATGATCTTTTAACCAGTTTTCTATCCATTTACATACAGATTTTCCAAGCCTGTAGACTTTACCTTGCGCATTAGCAGTGTGTGGGGAACTGTGTCAAATGCTTTTGTAAAAATCCAAGTATACCATGTCCACCGCCACCCCTCTGTCCAAGGTTTTGCTCACTTCCTCATAAAAAGAAATCAGATTTGTTTAACTTCTGTTTTTCATGAATCCATGCT